GGGGACGAGGACGGGGCCGGGAGCGGGTCGGAGTCGGCTTTACCTCGTCCGTGTCCGAATTGAAGAGCAGTAGGTCGAAGGGAATCGCCGCCACCAGGTCGATGACGAACCAGCCCTTGAGGTAGTGCACGGCGATCTTGCCCGGGTGCGACACCACCTCATCGTTGGCGTTGACGTACGTGGTGCGGAAATTGATGAGGATGTCGATGATGAATGTGACATCCACTGCAACAACGAGCAACAATATGACGTGAACGCCCACGAAGTCTCGGGGCGTTCTACCCACCGTGGGGCAACATGGTGGAAACTAGGTTCACTCGCAGGAAGGTAAATTTGGGTCTGACTTAGTAAGGAAACATGCAAGTATTTCGTTTTCCGGACAACAGAAAGTTGCAATTAAGACTAATCATCCGCGCTAAATACAATATATACATCAAGCAAGATATTTATTACACACAGTTATTACAGTCCCAATGTACATGAAAAACACTCGTTTCTTATAACGGAAAGAAAAAGTGAAGAAATAAAATAAATAAATAAATAATACACACCTCCCGTTTCTCTATGTTATTTACATTATAAATTTATAGAGTTAAATGTTTAGTATGGAAATTACAATGACAATTAACAAATACATCATAATACTAAAGAACAGAGACAGTAACAGTATGGGTCATTACATTAACAGAATTTCAAAGCGAACGGTCAACATGTACCAAAGAAGTTACTTCAAAAAATCTTCATTCAAAGGATTCTTAACATGACAGATTTTAAACATACACAACGTACTTGAATACAAAAATTTCGAACATGGACTACACTAAACCCTTCTTAAAATAAAATTGGACAAATAATATTATAGGACAAATTATTTTATTTTCAAGTTAACCAGTGACAATATATGAGCAGTCACCCAATTACTAAATTACATAATATACGAATGATAAGTTAGAAATAGTTACAAATCAGTAAATGTATAATTGACGAATTAATTATGAATTAATGAACATTTAAATGTCATTTATTGTTCTCTTCTTTTGTTTTTCAATTTGGTTTTTCATTTTGCGATTTCATGAATTGTGCGTTTTCTCTCAGGTACAAAGTTAATAAATAAAGACATTTGCATGACCTAGTAATTATTTTCTTTCTGAATTGTTGGAATCTAATTTTACACGTTGATAGGGATTGCAGACAAAATATTTCATTAAGTAGAAGAGGAGATTGCATTGTTACCGACTTGAAGTATTGGGTCATATAGTGACAGGGATCCATTTATTAAATAAATAATTCTATGCAAGAAAGATATGTCCTAAAAAATTAAAGAGCAGAATGCTATATCAATAATATTTTGAAAGTATTGAATGTTCAATATTCTTCTTTATATTCTATTTCCTGTCAGCCAATTACATTTTTTTAATGTATTGGTGGAAGAACGTTACATGGTGTTAAGGCGAGGAAAACCTATTTGTTATAAAATATTTCTTTTATACATTGCAGAATTGTAGTTGGATATTCGATAATGACTTCTTCCTTATCTAATACATTTTAATAAGGCTATGTTAGTTTTGTTGGACAAGTCAATTAACTCAAATCTGTCAACAAACATTTTCTCTTTCATTTACATTTTGTCCAGTTCCGGTGAATGTATAAATTAATAAAATGCCATTAAATTGTAATGCTGGCGTAAAGATTAGTCATTCTCAGGATAGACCCAAGTTGTTATGTACGACGAAAGTGTATGAAAAAATGTGTATGATGCAAATTGTTTGCTATTATCTTCTTCAGAGATGTCTTCTAACAACAAAATTGGTGTACTCAAAAGGACAGGAATCCTTAAGACTTCTTGAAGGCGTGTTTTCGACGATTACTAAGAACTGCAAGTATTAAGCACAAAGTTAAAATACACTACAATACGTTTATCAAATTGTTCATTAGGTATTCGATACAATAGAATAATTTTATAATACCTTTGCCAGTAGAAAAATATGTCAAGTGTAACTCAATGATACGTCTTGCAGACTTTGGTTCTTGAGTACTGATATCAACGGTCTACAAAAGGAAAATGTCATCCGAAAACCTTAAGAACAATAGTAAATAAGGTGCACTGTTTCTCCGTCGAGCCAGAGCCAAAGAACACTGCGCTTTATTTTAGTATTTCATGCGGACAATTAGCGAAAGCGAACGCAAGACTTCTCGAAAAAAACAGCTCTCTTCGGAAATTGTAATGAGGGAACAGTTGGGGATAGTTCCATCGATGCTCGCTACTCCGTCTCGAGTGGTGGACAATGGCTTTGTTTTCGCGGCGAGTTGTTCCCTCGGCCCAGGCCTTATTCAGCTCGCCACGAAAATTGCGTTTCAAAAGTTTGTCGCTTTAGAAAACGTAAATTTTTGAACAGAATCTTGTTTAGAGGTTTATGAAAAAAACAGGTCTCGACTTGTAAACTTACGCGCACGCTCGCGCAATTTTCGCAACCGCCTCACAAACAGACTGTATCCTAAAAACAGATATTGAGAGGTTGAGGCTGTAAACATGTCTCGACCTTTTTCGGGGAAAAATAAGTTTAAGATAAAAATAAAAAAACACATTTCTACTCATTGTTTGAAACGGTGTGAGGTTCTAAAAGTATTTCCCGTATTTATGACAGTCTCTATATTAAAAGGCTGTAACATTCAGGAATACTTCTCCATTCACCAAGACACACTCTGCAGAGTTCTGTGGAGCGCGACACAGCAGAAGTAATATGCCTCCGACTGGCGGCTCGAGGCCCCAGAGAGCAATTTTTGCTCGCCTGCAATTCGCGCCCGGGAGGGCGTAAAGCGGGCAGCGAGCGCTCCGGGCCGGGGCCGGCCGCGCGTGGAGGCCGAGGGGTGGTGCAAAGCGGGCGGGGCGGCGTGTGGCGGGTGGGAGCGGCGAGGGGGCGGGTTGGGTCGAGACCAAGACGGGGTGTGGGAGGAGCAGGCACGGGGTTGGGGCGGGGTCGATCCAGGCGTTAGTTAGCTCCAGAAGCGGGAAACGAGCCAGAAGGACAGGCTAGCGGCTACACACACACACTCACACACACTATCCTTTGAATGTTCTATTGCCTGTTACGTTTTAGTATCGGAGTCCCAATGACAAATTTTAATTTTCTGAATCGATATCGTAACGAAGTTGGAAAAATAAATTCATATAAAAAATTCAGAAAGACTTACATGTCAGAGATGAAATAGAACTAGCAAAGTTTGAAATTTTGTTTTCCACTAAAACACTGTAAAAAGAATGGATTGTTTTTCCATGAAATGTACTGTTTTTTCTAGACACATGAATCCTTTAAATTGATGGCAAATAAAGTTATTTTATATCCCAAAGTAAATCAATATGTTCATAATTATACGATTAACAAAACAAAGTAATTTTTGACGAAGGCAATTTTGTGCTTGATGCTACGTTTTAAACAATCAGCAATGAAACTAAGTGTGAATTCCAAAGTAATGTAATAATAATAATAATAATAATAATAATAATAATAATAATAATAATAATAATAATAATTTGTTTTAATGTACATTCTTGAATTTATCGGAGTTAATAGTATTGTACAAGAAAACAGAAACTTAAAAACAAACAAAACAGTTCAGTACACATTTTTATACTAATTAAGATCCTTGTGGTTCATCAAAAATGAAAAATATAGTCTCTTGATCCTCTCAAGGGAAAAAGGACAAAGGCCGGAAAAAAAGTGGTTAAGTGTTGCTGGCGCGCTTTTAGCAACGTCACGGCTTCAGATGTTTCTAGAGAACTCGTTTAAAAATGGGGCTTTTGTAGTGGATTTGTTTGTGTTCAGTGCCTTTTCTCATTATATATAATTTAGACCGATGTTTCCTAACTTCATCATAAATTACATCCATACATGCAGCCATAAATACAGAGAATTGTCCAACTTCGGAAATACTATAAACATACATTGTTAGTACAGAAGGAGAAAACTGAAAAATGAATTATTATTTGGTCTTAAGTATTTTATTCAAACATCTTACCATATTGTAATATTTACTTCGAATATTTATCCGAATTATTATGCACTAATTCATCAATATTATTCTGTTTCGGGTTGAATAAAATATTCAATTATTATCGTTCAAAATTTGTGATTCTTTTAATAATCCAATAATTGCTTCAGTCTTTCCATTTTCATCTTATATCAAAATAATATTTTGATTAACACAATGATTCTATCAAACTACAATTGACTACAATTTGTCCAATCTTAGCCACGAAGAGAAGGGTACTAAATTCTAATGTCACATTTGTTACGAGTGAAATATAGATATAATATGCCAAGACTAGATACACATACACAAATAAAGAAGCTACAAACACTGACACATGAAAACTAGATATATAGAAATACAAAAACAAGACACAAATATTGGATGCACACAGTTATATACATAATACTATTTACAAATACTACATGCAAATTAAAACATTTTGTTTGGGTTTTCTATATTAAATATGTGTTTTAACGTGATTACTTTGTAATTTGTTTTCTTGCTTTATTACTGATGTTATAAATTAGTCACATTTTCTATTTTACTCTGGCCTAGAGTTTGTTGATGGAAAGTGATTGTATGAAGTTCAATTCAAGACATTATTTGATAAATCTTAAGGTGTAGAAAAGGATACTCGATCATGACTTAAGATAATCTTTTTTGTTTTCGTTTATTCAACTATCATTAAAAGCGTTGTAAGTGGTGCAGGATTATGTAATGCTTTCACAGGAAAGGAATTCACTCGAAATATTGAGTGATGTGAAAAAACTCGTCCAGATATCAAACAGAAGTGAATCTACAATCGCATTAGGGAAGACTAAATTCGTTAAAGAACAAAATATCCAAACAATACGTTCAGTTAACAAATCTATTGCTGTAGTATCTCTGCAAATATTTTTGTATTATGTTTGTTATAATGAGAGAGTACTTGTAGGAAAAAAGTGTTTTCGAGTTATTCAATTACCAGATTAGTCAAAAGATAAACATATTCAACATTTCAACATAAAGATATTCAACATTTGGAAATTGTTATGATATGGCTTTATCCCGTATGTATTGATGCCAACAAATCTGCTTAATAATACTTTAGATACACATATTTAATATGCTGCACATCAAGTTGTATTACATTAAAATATGAACACACAAGGGAGAAAAAACGACCGTTTAATTCATGGAATAATTATTTAATT